CAAGATAACCTTCCATGTGTAGTCCAACCAGAAAGCATACCATAAGCAGGAAAATCACTTATTGTCCAAAGCAGTACTGCTAGCAACGTAAAATTATTTTTCAAGGAACAATCATACGTCCTGACCCCTTCTGACCACAAGTCCTTCAGCTCTTGTATCAATGGTTGAAGTAAAACATCTAGGGACTGCTTTGGATGCTTCAGACCAGGGATTAATATGGTCAAGAATAGAAATTCTTGTTCCATACACATCTCCGGAGGCAGGTTGTACGGCGTAAGAATGACTGGCCACAAAAAGTATTGTTTCCAAGACATTCCAAATGGACTAAATCCGTCTGTGCATAATCTAATATAGACATTTCTAATATTTCTTGCGAAATCTGGGTGTACGTTGTTAAAATGTTTTCAAGCTCTTGCATCTGATGGATGAGCAATCTCGCCATCCCGCTGGACATGTTCAGCATGCCACCTCATCGCTGCTGCAGTCCTCTCAGATTGATATAATCTTTTCAGCCTATCTTTGATTGGTAAGTACCACATTCTTTGGTACGGAACCCTATTCCTTCCACGTCCTTGCGGTTTTAATCATGGCTTCTTGCAGAATCGACACTCTTCTAGCTTCTCATCATCTCTCCAGTAGATCATGCAGTTGTCGATGCAAACATCTATCATCTCCGATGGCAACCCAAGACTATAAACCAATTTCTGAATCTCGTAATAAGATTCAGCTGACACGTTGTCTTCTGGCAAATACTCTTTAAACAACTCCGCCCATGCATTCANAATCATGGCTTCTTGCAGAATCGACACTCTTCTAGCTTCTCATCATCTCTCCAGTAGATCATGCAGTTGTCGATGCAAACATCTATCATCTCCGATGGCAACCCAAGACTATAAACCAATTTCTGAATCTCGTAATAAGATTCAGCTGACACGTTGTCTTCTGGCAAATACTCTTTAAACAACTCCGCCCATGCATTCATGCAGTTCTCCGGTAAATTATGATCTGTTTTAATATTCATCATCCTAGCTGCTAGAGACAATTTAGAGTGACCTTCTCTACAACCAGTGTAGATTGGTTGATTTGCAGCATCTAGCATTTCATAAAACCTTTTTGCATCCAAATTAGGTTCTTCAACATGAACAGTTTCATTTACTATTGTTGTAGTAGTTTCTAAAAATGCATCAGTAATCATGTCGTGAACCCTATCATGATCTACCATCTGTTCAACACCCTGATTATTACTGACATTCCGAAAATTACTATTACTACTACTAGCTTCATTTCCTCCATAACCCTCTCCATGTTGAAACCAAATATAATATTGTGGTGTAAAACCTCTGTGTACTAAATGTTTCCAGACAGTTTCAGTACGAGTAAATTTTGAATTCTTGCATTTCTGACAAGGACAGAACATCTTACCACTTTCCTGCGTGAGCGGTGTACATGCTGCCTGGTTCATGAGCGTCTCAAGCCCGCTAAGAAATTAATTCGTCACTCTATCGGCAGAATCTTTATGCGTATACATCCAACTTCGCAATTCGAAAATATTTCTTCCATCCGACATTTTTTTGATTTGTTTTTGTGTGGTGGTATGAAATGAGAAATGAGAAATGAGAAATGCTCATATATATAGCAAATCCACGAAAATTGGTAGGTGAAAATTTACAACGTATTTACAAGGAACATATTTACATGGATATTACATGTCTCTAACATATAGGTTACAACATGTTTACAACGACATCAGTTACACATTAAAGTCGTGTTCACCTTCCAGTATTCGTCGTAAAGCCATAGTAAATTTACGACGAATTTACAATGAAAGTTAAAAAAAAAAATTTGGATAAATTTTTTTCTTCACTACTTAAACAAACCTAAAATGCGTGGATAGTTACCAGAACAGTTCTCATCAACTTCTCGTATCTATTTATCTACTTCTCGAAAAAAATTTACCAGGAGTTGATTAGAACTGTTCTGGTGACTGTTCACGCATTATAATTTCTTCAAAAATCGATACATAAGTTATCGAATTTTTTTTTTCTACGAATTTTTTTTCTTTCTACGAATTTTTTTGTTTTTGTTTGTGGTGTTCTTAGGAGTGATTATGAATGACATATATATAGAAAATTTTTGTGCTTGGTTGGTAAAGATTTAACAACGAATTTACATGGAAACCTTTTACTACGATTTTACAAGGCATTTGTACATGCTTTACAACCCTGTTACAACGAAAGTAGTTACTTAAGAACACGTTTTTGTTTACTTTTAACGGTTAAACATTACTCGTAATGTAGTTGTAACTTTACTTCGTCTTTACAACGAATCTTTCTTTGCCTAGTACCTTCGTCGTAAATTTACTTGTCCTTTATGACGAAGGCCTTTCCTTGTAACGTAACTAGTTCATTACGACGAATATGTATTTTGTCGTAAATGACTTGTTACGTACTCGTACCATTACGAGGAAGGAAATTCCTCGTAATTCTTTCTCGTTAAAGACGTGTTTTCTTGTAGTGCATGACATAAGATATAATAGGCGTGTTTTTGGAATTTCACAATTTTAAATTGTTTTATTTATTATTTTTGAATTATGATGTCATCATTTTATATTATTGTATGTGAAACTATTATTTCATAGTATGTATGTGTTTGTATATTTTCATTTGTCATAGTTATTGCTGCTAAATGTTTTATGCTTGTATGTGTTATTTTTTGTTTGTATTGTACTAATTCTATTTTTATGAAAATATCAGAAAGGATAGGTAATTTAGTAATTTAAAAACTTTCATATCCATTCTATTGTAGTCTTACATCAATGTTTCTCTATTTTCATATATACAACTATAACTATAATAAAATATTTTTATATAATTATATATATCTAAAGACTATTAATATATATTTTTACAATCAATATCATCATCGTTTTCATCTTAATTTTTTTTTTCTTATAACTATAAATCTAATGGGAGAAAAGAAATGAACAATCATATAAAAAAAAACTCAAATAATATATCTAATATTAAATTAATAGATTTAAAATAAAATTACAAATACCTCTTAAGATCTTTACCGTTATGTTTTCGCCAGCTCTATTATAACATATATTAATATGATTTATTGTTTATTTTAAAATTATTTACTACAAACATAACAATTTATTCTTAAGGTCTTCACAATACAATATATTTTGTAGCTACAAAAACAAAACAATATCTAAATGTAGAAGTTATTGATAGTTTCATTACTTTTAACTTACATGACAAAAAAATAGTAATTTAGAACATTTTCTATTGTTAAACAACTAAATATGCATAGACCACGCAAATCAAAATGTATAGATAATAATCCATATAAAAAAATCCTACGACCTTAAAATAACAACACAAATATCTGTAAACATGAAAACATCAAAATATGTTGAACAGGAAGAATGGCATAGCAAATTAATGGAATCTTAAATAAAGAACAAAAGAAAGTGTATGACATTGCATTGAATGTTTGACTTAATTCATCTTTCAATTTTTTTGTATTCCATTCTAATCTTTAGTTATTCAGATTTGGTTTGGTTGAATTTTTAAATTTGGTGTGGTTTGAATTTTCGAGTTTGAATGTTTTCTCTAATCTTAAATATAAGTTGTTAATAACACGTATAGATGTCATAACTATTAAATAGAAATAGTATCCATAACTTATGTAGGAAAACAATTTTTTAATCCAAACCTAAATTTCACATAAAATATAGTAAAATACTAAAACCGTAATAAAAAAGTGAGAGAATTTTTATGTTTTTTTATAAAATTAAAATGTCATATAAAACCTATGCAATGTGTAGATCCCTATCTAATTAGAAGATTAAAGGAAGTAAAGAAATAAAAGTGAAAGTCTTTAGTGAAAGTATTAAAAAAGTACTATAAATAGTTATTTTTCTGTGACATATAACCTCAAAAGGTAAGTTTATCTAAAGAAGATGAGTGACAGAGAGAAGGCCTATAAGAAAAACAAAATGATGTCGTAATCCTCCCCCACCGCATATCCTCCCCAATCATCTCTCAGTTCATCTTTACCATATAATACTACAACCTCTTTTTGTTTCAAATAAGAGTATGGTCCACCATTTCATATGGGCTCCTATTTTTTCTTTATAATCGAGAATCTCGAACCAGAACTCGTGAATGGTCAAATATTTTTTTGTCATTCATTACTATCTATATATAATACGTAATAACATGGTTGACATTCTAATAGAAGCATATATCAGCAGTTAATGTTCAAATGCTATTTCGAGTCCATTTAAATATTTGGAGAGAAGGTTTATCAAATTATCTGTAAACTGTATTTTTTTTTAGAGATTAATTTGAACCTCTTCGTAGACTTAAGATATCTTCAGATTAATCAAAAAAATGTTCAAATTCGACTCTGTAATAAGAATTTTAAATATAGTGAATTGCTTTTTTCAAAAATATGTAATTCCTATAAATTTTTCGTGGATTGGTTTTTTCAAGAGTAAATAATTCCTATAAATTTTTTTTATTCGCTTTAAAGTCTGAGATGCTTTAGGTAAAGTATATGTTTACCAAAAAGTTACTTTTAATTAAAATGTGATTCAAACTATATAAGCTTCTAAAATATTACATATTACACAATTTTTAATAAAATTTTAATTTTGTGTAGAAAAAATAAACAATCTATATATTAAAAATCAAACATTGTTTCAAATATCATACACTAGTATATTTCAGAACACATAGAGTATTAATTATAAAAATCATGATCATAGGATAAATTTCTGACCTCATGGTTTTTGTACAAATACCAAGACGTGATCAGAACCATTAACCACGTGCAACCTCTCTAGTTTTGGCCTGCCGACGTGTCCTCTACACAATAAAATAGATCCTCTACACAATAAATAGAGGATAAAATATGTAGTTAATAATAATTTAAGCGTGACTAGTATTTATAGTCGAATTCTCTTTCTTTTGGTAGAACCACAAACTCAAAATCTTCAACAACAAGAATCTTTCGTTTTTGATAAGTGTGGAACGAAAATAATGTGTTACAAAAAGGTTCTCCCTCTTGTTATTCAACCGCCAAAGTTACCGGCGGCGGAAGTGACGGTGGCGACGGAGGTGGTCGCCACCGGGAGTGTCCGTAACGATGGCCTTGAAAAGAAGAAGTGTGTGTGTTCACCGTCGAAGCATCCAAGATCGTTCAAGTGTAGGTATCATCATCATGAATATCAATGGCTTCCTTCTTCTTCTTCTTCTTCCCTCCAAAAATGACATATCAATATGCAATCTATAATTGAAAGCCTTTAGTAAAAATATGTAATCTATAACTATAGTTCTATATTCATGGTATTTGTTAATTTAACAAAGAATAAATCGTGCATGTTGTGATTTTTATTTATAATCAATAACCATAGTTTATATTCATGGCTATTTGTAAATTTAATCAAAGTATAAATCGTGCATGTTGTGATATTTTATTATAAAGAATATTCTTCGTAATCACTATAGAAGGATGTTGTTGAGATATTTTTTTTCGTTAATTTTGTTTCAATTCAGGATCAAATAATTAGAAAAATCCGAAAATCCATACTTTTTTAAAATAAAAAAATATTACAAATAAATATCTGTTAAAAATGATCATCTACTATTTTTCAACATTTTTATTAGACTTGAAACAAGCGACAATTACACAAATACCATTTTTGTGATACCACAATTCAACTTTACCTCCACTTAAGAGATATTTTCATAAATACACAGATCATTAATGACAAAAAGATAATACTATCTTTCCCTATATTTTCTTCTATTTTCTTTCTCTCGGAGAGATCCGCCGTCTCTCTCTCACGAAACTGCGATGAAAGAGATTGCATACAATCAACGCTAGTGACGCGTAAATCAACGCTGGTGACGTGTTCATCAACGCCGGGTAACGTGTTCAATCAACGCCGAAGAATAGTGTCGGCTTCTCAATCCCAATTTGTAAGTTTCTTCCTCGAATCTGTATTCTTGTATCTGTTTGTTCGATCTAAGAGAAAGATGTGAGATTTTGCAAATTTCTAACCCTTTCTAAAATACGAGATTCCTGTGGTTTTAAGATCCGTGTAATCGATTAGTGTTTGAATCTGTAATCGTTGAATAACGTATCTTTAGACCATGATTAAAAGTCACATCATCGTTTTGTTGAATTATAACCCTTTCTAAATACAAGCTTCATGTTGAATTTTGTTTTGCAATTAGATAGCAATAAATTTTGCTCATCCATGCATTTGCCTGAGATAATTTATGAAGCTGGAATAGAACCACCAGATAATCCGAAGGTCATTATCCGACGCTCAAGAATGGAGTATGTGGAAAAGGTTGATGTCGTTTTAGGAAAGAAAGAGTTTGCTCAGATAGAAAACTCCCACATCGGAAGCATAGTGAAATTGGTCAGAAGAACCAGTGTTGAGTTTTCAGAGAGTCTTTTTTATTTTCTCATGCAGCGAAGAGTACTAACAAAAGGAGAAGGACTTTGGTTTACCTTCGCCGAACAGCCTCTGAGATTTTCAATGAGAAATTCTATATGGCAACAGGATTAGCATGTGAAGAAGATGAAACATAAGTGAAGATGAGTGACGGAGTGGTAAAAAAACCTTACCTATGGATGCTAGGCAAGAAGGATAAATACACAGTGGGTTGTATGAAATTTTTAAGAATAAAGCAGCAGGAATGCTAACACTGGAAAGGTTCTCATTTGGAGTAGCAATAATTATAGAAGGGGTGATTATTGCAGAAAAGACATGAACTCTAATCCCGAGAGAGAGGCTGATGAGTTACATGAACTATCGCATTTCTAAAGGTGCTTGGGGTATAGTTGCATATAATGTCTTGTCAAAAAGTATTAAAACCTTGGATTCAGGTTCGTGGTTAGGAGATGGTTATGCAGTAAGTGGTTTTGTCATCGCCATTAACTTATGGGCAATGTCCTCAGTGAGTGTTCTTGGCCAATCATTTGGAGAACCATGCGAGACGTCCTCTTCATCAGATCTGCTCGTTCTGCATTGGCACTCAACAAAGAGTAAGACCATAACCGAAGTGTCATCGTTAGAGAAGATAGATAATGTAAGTTTTTATAAACATTTATAAATTATTTCGTATGATCATATTAGAAAATGTTTTGAAAGTAGATTTCTAGAGATATTCATGGCTTCATTGAAAAAAGCCTGCAAAAAGGTGTAGTGTTCACAAAAGATTGGAAAATATTGTTTTACACGGTCTTATAAAATTTTATAAATATGAGATTTACAAAGGATTATAAAACACATGTTTTATTTTGGTTACAAGTTGTGGTTGATACAATTTTTGGATCTCCTAACGAATACAAACATCTGGTGAATACAACACATGAGGATGATTTGGACTCTGACAGCGTTATAAACATTGTTCTCATGTGATACAAAATGACGAAAAGAGACTAACAAGGATTTGTGGATATTTTTGTTGCAACAGAAGCCATAGGTGAGCACAGGAGAACAAAAGAAAAAGATGAAGAGTATGAGGAAGATTTAGACCATGGCGAAGCTAAAGAGAGTCAGAAAGATGAAGAGAATTAGAGAGATGAAAAGAAGCAGAACGATAAAGAAGATAATAAAGATGAAGAGTATGAGAAAGATAAGGAACAAATAAAAAAGATGAAGATCATTCCAAGTCTGACAGTGAGAAACTTGATGAGCTAATCCAAATGGTTCAAGGTTTGGGTAAGCAAGTAGAGACGATCCAGATATTTTTAGGGATTAATTTAAGCAACTGACTTTACCAAGAATTTAAAAAAAAATCATATGTTATTTTCTCTAACGATTTGACATGATTTTTTTTAAGTTCCCTGGCGGTTCAACGGATAAAGAATATTGCAAGAATGGAGCTACTTCTGGTGATGATGATGATGAAAATGAATACGCTTCAATTGACAAAGAAGAAAATTTTGTTGACAAAGAAGATTGCAAAAATGGAGCTACTTCTGGTGATGATGATGATGATGATGATGAAAGTGAAGAAGCTCCGATTGACGAAGAAGAAAAACCTGGCGATAGAAGTAGCGGAACTGATGTTGAAAATGAAGAAGAGATATGTGATACAGAGGTTTTAGTGGAAAAAGAGTATTCTTGGAGAAAATGAGAATACACATAAAATCACTCAAAACGTAGTCACATAAAAAAGTTGAAGAAGGAAGTTGCATGAAATAAAAGTCGCAGGTATAAAATCTAAACATAGGATTTATATAGGTTTATAAGTTTTTGGATTTAAGGCTTGCCAAATTTCATTTCTTATTTTTCTGTAGGTCACGTCGTCTACTCAAACATTCAATACTTCAAACTATGATACAAGGGTATAAATTAAAAATTATTTTATAAGGCCTTATAAAAATTTAATTTATCTAGTTTAAATTGATCTGTGTCTGCAGGTTTCGTCGCCTACTCCAACATTTACAACACGTAAGTTTGATCTTCTCTCCCAAGAAAGTCTTCATAGTGTTAAGGGTGCAAATGAAGTATTTTATACACTATTTCATGATTGATAAAAAGGTTCACATGTAGATATTCATAAAAACGATTTGCATGAATCAGGTTCTTATGAGAGATGTCGTGAGATTCCTGTTTTCCAACCTCAAAAGAAAGTTAAAAAGAGATTGGTACAACAAGACACCCGGGTTTGTTTTTTAAACTTTATGAGTTTTGTACTATTTTATAAACATATAACTCTTTGTAAAAAAACTAATTTATTTGGTGTGTAGGCAAATGATGATGCTGAGCCTCCACTTAAAAAGAAGAATAAAGCCCATCCAGATAATGTTGAGCTAAAAATAAGTGAAAGAGGTCAAATACCATCAATTCATACGCAGCCACCATTTACAGGAGCACGGAAGAAGCATCCAATAATTCATTCTTTTGAGCCAGTTGATAAAACAAGAAAGGAAAAGATGAGAGACTGGAAAATGTCAAAGAAAAACAGGTAAGATTTATTATATAAGGTATTATAAATTTCATGATGGTGAAAAATAGTTTCTTACTTAATATGTGTGTTTTGATGTAGAAAAATAAAAGTCAATCAAGCGTTAGTAACCGAAAAGTGGTTTTCAGATCTTAAACTCCAGGAATAAAGCTTTCAAAAACGGTTAGAATAGATGAACTTATTTATATATTATTTATAATCACTTATAAATCTATCTTATTTTTCTTTATAAAAATCTCTGATAGATTTTATGAGTATTTGTTATTTTTTTGGCAGCACATTCGGGTTTGGAGTTGCTGAAACTGAGAAAGAGAAACAATCCAGATTTGTTTCTTAACAAAACTGCCTTGGTTGTTGGAGTAAAATTTCTTTATGAAATTGATGAACTTTATGATGAGTTTTAGATGACAAGAAAAGCTTCGAGTTTTCAAGAGTCTTTGACAAGTACAAGATAGAGAAGAATATCAGTTTCCTCTATTCGGCAATTGAGGTTGAAGAAACTTACTGGCTTGGGATTGTAATCAACCTGGAGAAGAGAAGTATCACTACATTTAACTGTGCAGCACACAAATACACAGATGCGAGCCTAGTTGATTATGTAAATGCATATGCGGTGGTTCTCCCTTTCATGATTCGCAACATCTTCAAAGATGTCAACATGAGTACAAGAAAGTTCGCAATAAATGTTGAATCTGAAGGTTTGCACAGGTAATATGATTATAACTGCTTATATATCTCTACATTTTTAAATTTTAGATTTGACTTATTGATCATAAAATGTTTTGATTACAAGTTATCTCCTATGTTTCAAGTTCTTAAAATAGAAGACAGTGGAATTTATGCATTTAAGCTGATAGAGTGCCATGCAATGCGTATAATTGACTTGACCAAGTTGAGTGAAGAAAAAATTGCACTCATCAGAGAAAAGTTGGCCGTTGATATCTTCTCAGAATTATAATGAGTACCAATGTGAGAATAAAAGCAAAACTTTGTCACTTGCTTGTGGTTATGTGTGAACAACTATCTGTTTTACGCGTATTTGGTGAACTTTGTTTGTAGGATTCTGAATACATATGAGTTTGTTGCTTGAATTTGGATTTGTGGCTTTGTATTTCAGTACCTTTATAACACCTTATTAAAAACTTCTTTATAAACCCATATGAAATTCATATCGATTTTCAGGATTTATAAAAAGTCTATTGAAACAATATAAATGCTTGTAAATTCTAAATATATAAAGTCTTATAAATTAATATATACCATGAAGCATCAACATATTTGAAATTTGGTCATTGTTGGGCTAAGTATTTCAATCAACAGATTTGTAATTTCGGGTTATATAAAATATTAGTTTGACATCAAAGCCTATCTAAGGCCCAATTTGCCAAAACCCCTAACACAAAACACGTGTCCGACAAGAATGTTTCAGTAAACAAGTGTCATGTTCCGTTAAACAAATGACATCTGTTTTTTTCATCATTCATTTCTCTC